TTTTTTTTTTTTTACCCTCCCATATGTTCATTTGTTTTGTTTCTTAAATTCCATATATGAATGAAATCATATGGTATTTGTCTTTCTCAGACTGACATATTTTGCTTAGCATAATATACTCTAGCTCCATTCACATCATTTTAAATGGCAAGATTTTCCTTTTTGATGGCTGAGTAATATTCATATAGATGAATCTGTGAGTAATATTCATATTATATATGAATATTCATTACATATCATGTGTATTCATTATATATGTATACCACAATTTATTTATCCATTCAATCACTCTATGAACATTTGGGTTCTCTCCATAGTTTGGCTATTGTTGATAATGCTGCTATAAATATCAGGGCATGTGCACCCCTTTGAATCTGTATTTTTGTATCCTTTGGGTAAATACTTAGTAGTGCAATTGCTGGATTGTACGGTAGTTCTTTTCTTTAACTTTTTGTAGAACCTCCATACTATTCTCCAGAGGAGAAAAGTGTAAGAGCGTTCCCCTTTCTCTTTATCCTAGCCTTATCCTGTTGTTTCTTATGTTAATTTTAGCCATTCTGACAGGAGTGAGGTGGTATCTCATTGTGGTTGTGATTTGTATTTCCCTGATGATGAGTGATGTTGAGCATCTTTTCCTGTGTCTGTTAGCCATCTGGATGTCTTCTTTGGAAAAATGTCTATTCATGTATTCTTCCCATTTCTTAACTGGATTATTTGTTTCTCGGGGTGTTGACTTTGGTAAATATTTTATAGATTTTGGATACTAACCCTTTATCTGATATGTCATTTGCAAATATATTCTCCCATTCTGTAGACTGCCTTTCAGTTTTGTTGGTTGTTTCCTTCACTATACAGAAGCTTTTTATCAAGATGAAGTCCTAATAGTTCATCTTTGCTTGTTTCCCTTGCCTCTAGCAACATGTCTCATAAGAAGTTGCTATGGCCTAGGTCAGAAAGGTTCCTGCCTATGTTCTCCTGTAGAATGTTGATGGTTTCCTGTCTCACATTTAGGTCTTTCATCCATGGTGAATTTATTTTTGTGTTTTGGGTAAGAAAGTGGTCCAGTTTCTTTCTTCTGCATGTTGTCATCCAGTTTTCCCAAAACCATTTGTTGAAGAGGCTGTCTTTTTTTCCATTGGATATTCTTTCCTGCTTTGTCAAAGATGAATTGACCACATAGTTGGGGGTCCATTTCTGGGTTTCCTATTCTGTTCCACTGATCTATGTGTCTGTTTTTGTGCCAGTACCATATTGTCTTGAGGACAAATGTCTTGAGGACAAGCTTTGCATTAAAGCTTGAAGTCTGGAGTCGTGATGCCTCCAGTTTTGCTGTTCTTTTTCAGGATTGCTTTGGCTATTTGGGGTCTTTTGTGGTTCCATACAAATTTTAGAATCGTTTGTTCTAGCTCTGTGAAAAATGCTGGTGGTATTTTGATAGGGATTGCATTGAATGTATACATTGCTTTGGGTAGTATGGGCATTTTAACAATGTTTGTTCTTCCAATTCATGAGTCTGGAATGTTTTTTCCATTTCTTGTGTCTTTTTCAGTTTCTTTCATAAGTGTTCTATAGTTTTCAGAGTACAGTTCATTTGCCTCTTTGGTTAGGTTTATTCATATGTATCTTATTGTTTTGGGTGCAATTGCAAATGGGATCAATTCCTTTATTTCTTTTTCTGATGCTTCATTACTGGTGTATAGAAATGCAACATATTTCTGGGGCACCTGTGTGGCATAGTTGGTTGAGCCTCTGATTCTTGATATCAGCTCAGGTCATAATCTCACAGCTGTGAGATCCAGCCCCACATTGGGCTCTGCATTGAATGTGGAGCTTGCTTGGGATTCTCTCTCTCCCCTCCCCTCCCCCACATGCTCTGTCTCACAATAAATAAACATTAAAAAAAAAAAAAGAAAAGAACTGCAGTGATTTCTGTATGCTGACTTTATGTCCTGCAACTTTGCTGAATTCATGTATTCATTCTAGCAATTTTTTGGTGGAGTCTGGGTTTTCTTAAAAGAATATCATATCATCTATAAATAGTGAAAGTTTGATTTCTTCATTGCCAATTTGGATGCCTTTTATTTCTTTTTGTTGTCTGATTGCTGAGGCTAAGACTTCTAGTACTATGTTCAGTGGTGAGAGTGAAATATCCCTGTCTTGTTCTTTTTGTTCTTTTTCAGGCATTTTTAGATAGTTTATATACTATATACAAAATTTGATGTGCTTTCCTTTTCGTTTATTTGTAAGCTTTTAGTTAGCATGGATTCTAAAGTTAGTGAACGATTTCTGAGAACTTACCTGATTTCCAGGGGTCTAGTCAAATTTCAGTATCAATAACCACAAAGAGAAAAAGGAAATAAAAGAACAAATCAGTTTCTAAACTGGTATGCATTTTGAGAGGACATAGACACAGGCACATACATTTGTGTCCAAATGCACATGCACACACACACATCCATGCTCACTTTGTATGTCACAGGTCGTGACTACACTGTGGGTCTGAAGGAGAGCAGAATTGCTCCACCCCAAATGCACTGCTTTGGCACACTGATTATTTGAACTAATGTTATGTAAGAAAGAGCTGGCACAAGAAGGACATTCTGACTTCCTTCGTTCCCCTGAAAGCAGGAAATAAATCTGGTATGTGACAGGTACCCAACCTGTACAAGGAAAATTAACCCGAGAGGGAATTTAGGGCCAAGAAGCCTGTGTAAATACACCTTCACTAATTTGCTAACCCTAAGCCCAAACCCCTATGTCTTGTCAATTCTTCCCAAATGTATTGTTTTCTTGTCTAAAGGCATAAAATCTTCCTGTTTTGGTCACTTGTCTGAGTCTCATATTTTATGGGCTCTCATAGGTAAAATAATTAATTTCATTTTTCTTCTATTGATCTGTCTTATGTCAATGTAATTATCAGACCAGGCAAAGAACCTAGAAGGGAAGAAAGGAAAAATTTTCCTTCCCTGAAAGTCACTGTGTGACAAGGAGTAAGCTAAATCTCCACTCACACAGGAGCCCAAGAATATTTAGTCTGTGGCCACCATGATAAATTATCTTATTCCTTTTATATATTTGTCATTGCCACAAACCCGTATTTCTGTTATAACTATTATACTCTTACTTACCTTTAGCATCAGATCAAGTTTCATTTCCTCACCAAGCTGTTTCCTGATTTTTAAAGCCTGCATTGCTATAATTGCTTTGAAATGCTTAAGGGCTATTGCTTATGTCCCTCTTTGACATTTGTCTTGTTCTTTAACCATGTTGGTGCCCTTTGCTTCCATGTCTTCCATTTCTCTACAGCACTTAGCTCTATGGAAGGCATATTAAAAGACTCCAAACTTAATCACCAAGAAAGCTAACTACTGAGCCCCAGACTGTGTCTGCCTCTCTGGGATGCATCCCTGCTCACTCACTCACTGGGCAACTAGCCCCTTGTTGTATTTTTGACTTAACCATTCCAGTCCAGACATTTTTTTTTCCCTTCAACCTTTCCTGTTTCTCTCTTTCTCTTCAAACCAGAAATCCTGCTGACTCAACATTCAATGCCTTGACCAGAATTATTTCTGCACATATATTTATTATTTCTTTCTGTCAAAACTCTGAGTCAGATTCAGCAGCTTTTCATGAGAATACTGGTCACTAATTTTGTTATGAAAGAACTGGTCAAAGATCACAATTAATAATTATGGAAAATGGATCCTCCCAGGCCTCAGGCTTCCTTAGAAAGATGAGATGGCCTCCCTTCTTCCAAGAAGCACATAAATTAGTCCCAAAATCTATAATGTTATATTAAGTGTTTAATCATCTAGAACAGATTCCCATCATCTCCTCTGGCATTCTTGTGGTACCTACAACCCTCAAGCTGAGGAAGTTCTTCCTCACATCTAACCTAAATGTCCCTTTAGTTATTTTATTAAGTTACAAAAGTACTATTTCTTGTACTTACAGACTGAAATAAATTTGGTTGTGATAATAAAGTTCAAAGGGAAATTTAACAATTCACCTTTTCCACCCATTCTGATTAATTATTGTTTGTTAAAAACTCACACTATTTTTTCTTTAGACCAATACTTATCTACATTCCCAGCCCAACTTTCCAAGGATTGATGCCAGCTAGGTAGAAGAGATAGCATTATTAATCAAATTCTCAATCTAACTTTCTAGAGCCCTACTCTTAATTCACCTATAATCATAATCATAATCACAATCATTTATGGTCATTATATCAGGATGATTTATTGAAGTCACTGGCCCTAATTTGACATGAATGGAAGGCATGTTGTGGAATGGAAATTTGATGAGAGAGAATGAATGAAGCCTAATTATGCAGGAGCTTGAAGGCCAAGTTAAGAAATTCAGATTGGATGTGGAAGAAAACAAGAAAAAGTAGCCTGCTCCAATGTATTCAGAGTGGATTGAGAAGAAATTTCCAGGACGTGTAAATTTTGAACTTGAACACAAGTTCTTTGGAACCATAAAGCAGACACTAAATATGAATATCTAGAATCACACATAGCTGAAAATGCCAGGCCTTTACTGTAAGGAGAGGAAGTTTCCATCAATTCACATCCAAAGCACTCACTCCCTGTCTTACCTTTCAGGATCCCTAGTGGTCCAGTTTGTCAGCACCAAGTCTGCATGGACCAGGATAGGAGGGATGCCCAAGTTCCTGGAGACTTCAACAAAGGGAAGGGCAAGATTTCTTGGCAGAACCTTTTAGATATAAATACAGGAAATTAGCATACACCAGAAAAAATGCAGCAAGGGAAGTAATCATGATTGCCCTTTACTCCAGTAATCCTGTGGTAGAGAAATGACCTGGGCATAAAATTGGAATTATCTGAGTGACCCACATACACACACCTCACTCTCATATTTTTTTCCCTTAACATTTTAGTGGATATAATGTGTATGAGTACAATCTGAAATATATATGAAAATTACAAAACTGGAACACATACGTATACATAGTGTATAAAATACTCTCTGAAAACTGACTCTGCAAAGAAGGGCATCACCAATGTTTAAACATAAACTGGGGGCTGAGTTGATGAGCAGTGGGAAAAATATCTCTAACTCTTTATATATCTACTTATCTATTGACAGAGATATCTACATAAATATGTATGTGTGTATTTGTTTGTATAAAACTACATATATACATACATGTGTATGTATACACACATATACGTGTGTGTTTATGTTTCAATCAGGAACAGGAATGGGGAGGACAGAACACTTCATCCTGTGTGGCAGCCAACTCTGTTCATCACTTCATAAGTCAAACCCAATAACAACTTTAAGACGGTCCCTATTTAACTCCTAAGTTATTGGAGGAACACTCCAAAGAGACATATCTGCCCACAAGTCCAGAAAAACTACTCAGATCTGTGGGAGATGGGGGGGCGGGGGGGGGCGGGGGTTCTCTATCCGTAGACAAAGTTAAATTGGTTTTGATCCAAAATAACATTCTTATGCTCCCTATCTCCCACTTGCATTTCTATTTCCCCCTAGGATAAAAGTATCTATTAAAGAAGTCTTGCTTCTGCTTTTGCTTTCCTTAGATTTTTAGACTTGGGACAGAACTGTTTTTCAGGTAAGAAACAAAAAGAACTATAGAGTTTTAAAATTCAAACTTAAGTTTAGTTTCCCTGAGTCAGGGGTTGAGCAGGGCAATGCAAAAGTGAGGTGTCTATTTAGGTAAAGACTTAGAAGAGGAGATGTAGAGAAAGTTGGAGATGATCCCAGGCCATGGACAGGGGAATACCTGGTAACCTGGAAGTAGATGGACACTCCATGAAACTGAAGGCTTCCTCCCCTGTCACCCTTTCTCTACCCCTTCCCCATATCTGGGATTACGGTTTGGAGAACACAAGGGGGAGGGAGGCCCAGCGAGACATTTTTTAGTGTGCCTAGATTTCAAAGTTTTTATATCAGATGTACATTTTTTTTTTTAATGAGATGTACTGACATTTAAGAACTCTGAAGCACATCTATATCTTCTTCTTCTCTCCTTTCTCATGTTCCCTTCCTTTTGTCACAGGGGGGTTTCCTCTGTTTACTTGAAAGAAAACAGGCAGTCTTCACCAAGCAAACAAAATAGGCCTGGGCTGCTCAGTGAACCACGGAGTACTGGAACAAGTAACTCTGATTCCTGGAAAAGGGACACTTAAACAAAATGAAAGGGAGTGGTGTTTTTTTTACTGCTGTTAATGGAACTCAGAGATTTCATGTCTCCAGGTTTAGGTTTTTGGTTTTTTGGTTTTTTAAAATGTTTATTTATTTATTTTTGAGAGAGTAAGAGAGAGAGAGAGAGAGGGAGAGAGAGAGAGATGCAGGGGAGGGGCAGAGAGAGAGAGAGAGAGGATCTGAAGCAGGCTCTGTGTGGACAGCAGAGAGCCCGATGCAGGGCTCGAACTCATGAACTACGAGATCATGACCTGAGCTGAAACCAAGAGTCAGATGCTCAACTGACTGAGCCACCTGGGCACCCTCCAGGTTCAGGCTGAAACTATAAAAGGTTAAGTAAAGATTTAGAAGAGATTTAAATGAATTATTAAGAGATCAATAATCAGTAGAAAGAGCAGAGTATTAAAAAATTAAAATTAATCTTGTTAATGTCAGTGGGTGCCTTTTAGGGAAAGAAGGTTACATTAGTGAATCAGAAGGTCTAAGCATGGCCTTGCATTTTACACTAACTTGCTATCTGACTCTGGAGAAGGATTTTTGTCTTCTGTAGTCCTCAGCTGTCTGTAAAATGGGCACAGTGGAGTTCTGTTTACTTTATGGGATTGAGAAAATCAGGAGATAATATATGTGCATAGGAATACAGAATGCTGCAAGTGTAAGCTATTATTAAATTTCTTTTTTTAATGAGATCTCAGTTCTTGCCTTCATATGCAACTTGTTAAACATTCTTGCCAGAAAAAAAAAAAAAAAAGATGTGAAAGCTAATGAATGGCTACAACTTCTAAAGAAAATTAGCTTCTTAGGGAAAAAAAATTCTCTCATGTAAGTGGGCCATTTGTCCTTCCTTCAACTGACAGCCAAAGAAAAGAACAAGAAAGGACCTATTTTCCAGGAAACAGAGTGGGGCCAAGCAGTGAGTGTACTTCAGGAGCAGCAGGCTTGCCAGATGACAAGACAGGCATGTGTTTTGTCCCCTTACCTCTTTGGGCTGCGTCTCTCCTTTCTGCCAGACATATCCCATGGTAATAAAGCTCAGAACCAAGTGGGCCAGGCGCTGTTCCCGGTAACTCTGGAGGAACTGGCAGGTCAGGAGGGGCATCTGTTCAAGAGAATATCCAGAGATTATCAGTTGCACGGTGAGGATGAGCACAGGGGTTCTTCGATGTGAAGGGTTCTATGTGTATAAGGAGCAGGTTATATTTTAGTGAAGGAACTAAGAGCCTCCATGCACACCCCATTTCCCCCAATCTTAGGACACTGCAGTATCTGAGGCATTTCAGGGGACCTTGCTCAGGAACTACCTAACCACTCCATCCAAACTCCTAAATTGAGCCCATGGTTGCGCCCAGACGCTAGTCACCTTCACTGAACTGACAGAGTGTGTAGTGTTCTAGAATAATTAATTTACAAGACTGAGATCACCTATTTCATGGAGTCTATCGTGGCAACTTTTACAGTCCTACGTATCAAGGCACCTCTGTTTCCTTGGTATCATTTAACCCTGGTAACAAGCCTGCACTGTGAGTGTTACTTTCTCTGTTTAATTCCGAAGTAAAAGGAGAAACAGTGCAATTAGGAGTTTGACCAAATCCCTAGGGGGTGTTGGCTGAGCTGGGCCAAAGAGTTGTTCAGTCCTGTATGAAACCTTCCAGTGACCGTGGCTGGGTGTTTTCACCTCTCCATGCCCTTTTTCTCTGATACGTATCACCAGGGGATTTACAGATGATGTCTTCATGAAAACCACACCCGTACAGAAGTCAATTGTTGACAGCTCTGCCCCAACAAAACAGTTTCTCACTTTTGTCTGGAACACCCTTGCCTGTCTTGGTTGACTGAAACAGTGAGTTCCACCTTCCTGGCACACCCCCTCCTCACCTCGGCCTTTTTCCTTGGTCCCTCTATCTCTTCCCCAGCTGTAGACACAGCCTGATCTTCCCCAGCTGTAGACACAGCCTGATCCAGATCTTCCCAGGGGTCCTTCTCTGGGTCTTTAAGTGCCCCAAGAGGCGGCGGTGGACGTCTTGTGTATCCCTCTAAGCGCCAGGCACCGCCTCTGCGGCCTCAGACCCGCTCCCCCTCCCGCCCAGGCTGTCCGCAGCTTGCTCTAGAGCCTCCGCCACGGAATCCTTCCTCCGCTCTCCGCCAAGGGGCAGCCTTCCCGTGTCTGTTCGCCCCGCGCAGCTGCGTGTTCCTTCCTCCTAAAAGTTGGCTCTGAATCGCAAATGCAATGTGCTCTAGGCTCGCGTGCGTTTGCGTGTGCGTGTATGAGGTGGGGGAGTGACTGCTGAGATGTTGCATTTCAACAGGAACCGGCTTGAGAATTATGACCATAGTTATTAAGCACTTGTTGTAAGGTGCTTAGGAAAGCGTTTCCAAGGCACGCCGCTAAAAACTTCCCATGCCGGATGTTGTTCTGTCTTGCCCCCAAATCCACAGGACACAGCTAAGTCAAAGAGGGTAGGGTCAGGGTCACAGAGCCGGCAGGGACTGAGCCCGGATGCTACTTCAGTTCTGCCGACAATTGCCCTGTTCTCCCAAGTCAGCACTGCCTGCTAGAAACATGGAAACCACACATGTAATTAAAAAATTTCCAGCAAGAAGGGCAAAAAAGGTTCTACTTAAAGGCCCCTCCCTAGGCAAGCTTATCGAGAAACCCCGCAGATGTCCGTGTTTGAGCCTCTTTCTCTTTCAGGTCGTGGTGCCCTTCATTCTCAGAAAATAGACCACAATTATAAAACTTAACCTTCTCTAGCCTGGGACCATAACCCACATCCCAGCAGAGCCTGGGACAGAGCATCCTGAGAAACTTGTCACCTCCCAGTCCCGCCCCACCATGGGTGTGGCTGCAAACCTCTCACAACCTTAAAACCCTTTAAGAGGCCCAGCCTAATACAAACTCGGGCCACCGTTTCTCTTGATATCTGGCCCCTCTCCTCTCTTGGAGAATGAATAAACTCTGTCCTGCTAGTTGTTCTACTCTTCGTGCAATTCTTGGTCACTGGTGCCACCAGCCACCCTAACAAGAGACATTTAAAAAAATTAGTAAAAGAAACATGAAATTTGTTTTAGTAACATATTTTTTTCTAGGTCAATATATGCATAATATTATTAACACATAATCAGTATAAAAATATTGAGATGATTCGCAGTCTCTTTTTTAGGGTAAGTCTTCAGAATCCAGTGAGTAGCTTACATCGCAATTTGTCTTAACGTTTCAAATGCTCTATAGCCATAAGTCCCTACTGGTTACCTAGAGTGCAGCCAAGGTAAAGGAACAGGGTCCAAGTTGAGAATGTGGCTTTTGGTTAGAGGTTTTTTTTTTTT